GGTCACACGTATCATTAATGAAGGGGAAAAAACTCAATCCAGACTTTAAGTAATATTGTTATGTTGTGCTACGAACTGAAAACACATATTGGTTTAAACACAAGGGTAAATAATTGGTAGTGTGGTTTAATATAGTGTTCTGATAATAATTCATTATGTTTTGCTTTTTTCAGTTCAAAGATGCCACATAAAGAAAGACGTCAGAAACAAAAAAGAAAAGATCTACCAGAAGCAGCCAAAGGTAGTGGACTGTTGACCAACTGGGTCAGAACAAGTACCGCAGGTAAGAACAAAAAAAATAAAGGTTCTTACCATGATCAACGTGCAGTTTTTGGTAGTGAACAATATATTTCATATTACAAGGCAGCTGTTATGTTAAGATGTACTTAATCTAGTTGTATATCTCACAATTTGTAATTTATCATTGTTTATTAAACAATGAAAGATGTGTGACTTTAATATTCGGTCCTAAAATGCGGGCCTGTTTTTTAGCACCTGTGGTCTCTGCACGGCCCTGGTCAGAAACGTATGTGTGTGTGTGTGTGTGTGTGTGTGTGTGTGTGTGTGTGTGTGTGTGTGAACTAATACTAGACGACAATACATGTATATGAATGAGATACTTATATCTCGTATTTTGTGTGAGAAGTGTCACGAAAGAGACGGGGCATAATTTGGAGATTGCATCGCGCATGCGTGGATCCCAAACTGAGCAATGTAGGTAATATTTGTAATTTGACAAAGGACAGCATAAGACAAACTGCTGCAATTCTTAATGGTACTTTATTATTGCCGACTATAAAAAGCAGTGTGTCCTGTGCCTTAAACAAAATAGCTCCGATGAGCGCCAATGTATTGACGATCTGTGCTTCACGTCAGATTTTCCTACCATAGAGTATCTAGACAGCTATGTCTATCTGTCGGTGCTACCTTTCTAAAACTGCTGATAAGCTAGCACAGATAGTCAACACCAGAGTTCATAGGAGTTCTTTGGCATATGGCACAGGTCACACTGCTTGTTAGATCCACTGATGAGAAAATGCAATTAAAAATTGCGGCTGCTTGTCCTATACCGCTCGTTGTCAAATTACAGTTAGCCATGTTTTGCCTTCTTTTCTCTAAAGTTCATTGTCATTGGTTGCTTACTCCCTGTATTGCTGCCGCCTATTGGATGTGCCAATATTGCTCAGTTTAGATCCAGCCATACTCTATGAGATCTCCATCTCCGCCTCTTCCGTGACACCTCTCACACAGACAAGTACGAGTATCTCACACATACATCTATTGTCATTCAAGGAGTCTAGTATTAGTTCACACACACACTTCTGACCTCTCCTTCAGACTAGTAGCTATGTGTGCTTTAAACGGTATGTATGTATGTGTGTGATATTTTAATACCATATAAATGCAATTTTAGTCTTGTGTGTGTGCGTGAGTCTGTAGTAGTGTGTGAGAGAAAATTCTATGCATGTGTGATAATTTAATAGTGCATGTGTGTAATTTTAGTATTGCATGTGTGTGTGTCCACAGTAGTGTGTGTGAATGTTTGAATGTGTGTGTGAAACTTTGAGATAAAAGATTTAATCAAATTTTGACTTACACTTTGTAACCTCTGGTATTTGAAAAAGTGTCATTAGATAAGTTGAAATAAGTTGTACTAACTCAATCTATACTTTTTTGATTTGGTCTAATTTTAACAAACATTTTAGTTGTCAGAGGGACATTTTCATTTATAGCACAAAAGAAAAGCAGCTAATTTTTTTATTTGTTGTGGTATCAAGAGTGAACATGCACACTAACCTTGAAGAAGTCTTTGGTAGAGCCCCCTTCAAGTGTACCATAGGCGATCTCGGTCTGCTTGGCTAGGTCTTCTGCACTCTCTATGGGGGATACCATTCTCTCCACAGTGAGAAAAGCTGCCAGGTTGGCTGTGTAGGAAGAGATGATGATGAGGGTGAAAAACCACCACACCCCTCCAACAATTCGACCTGAGAGGGATCTGTGGGGAAGAACAGAAAGTAAACAATGGCTTTTAATAAATTCAGGAACTGCTGCCTGCATTCTGGACTTGGACCTATTTTGTTCAGTTTTTCCTTTCCGATTGGAAAACAGAGTATACAGTTTCACTCATGTGCTGATGAGATCACTTAATGTGCAAAAATAGTGCTTGCATTCAATCTTACTGTAGCAGCATCACCAACTTTTGGCCTAGCAGTTATTTCATTGTTTAAAATAATGTCTTTCTTACCATCAGAAGGAGTGCTTTAAATATTTTGGAAATGATGGTCAACCTTTTTGTCTCAGAGTTAAATAATTGGGTAAAAGGGGTCAACATTAACAGTAAACATTAATCTGCACAAAACCAAAACCTCTATCTTCTTCCACTCAGATCCTTTTCTTTCTAGAAACTGACCTCAGCAGACTTCAGTTGTAATGTGTTTGGTTGAGCTGCTGACATCAAATCACTGCACACATTATTTTACATTATTTTGTTTGACTTAAAGCTGTACAGTAGGTGCAAGAACTGCAGCTGAGAGTTTCTGTCTGCAGGATATTCATGCTTCACATTAACATTGAAAGCATAGAATACAGTCAGTCAAATCCCATCAAACACACACACACACACACACACACACACACACACACACACACAGATCCTGTTTAGCCCTGCGGCCCCATCCCACTAAAGGTGACCCTGTGTGATGTTCACATTGATGCAGCTTCGGTGTAATGTGGTGTACAACAAGCCAAAGAAAAGCACCAGATGAGGTGAATTTTGCAAACAAACCAAAACTTCCCCTGGTTGAGGCAGCTCATCATCAAAGAACTGGTTCCCTCTGGGGTTGAGACCAAAGTGCCACCCAGACAAAGTAAAAAGTTGTGACTTCCATGTTTTAAAGAATCTAAAACCATCTTAGCATCTACTGTGCTATTTTTAAAAGAACAAGCTGTTTCACATTGATGCTAAGTCTTAGAAGAGGAACATGGATAGATCAACAAACCAGTTGCTTATTCCAACTTTTTGGCCAAGTTTGTTCTGCTTTGCACTGTCTGAGAGCATGAATGTTGAAAATGAATAAATGTTTCTGCCCTATTATATACCTTATTTTTGTCAGGAGATGGTTTGTTCTTCATAAAATAATAACCAAACTCTCCATTACTAAAGGCCTCTTATCTGGGCTAAGGAAAAACGACCTGGAATTTTGTGCAGTTGATTTTAGCTGTTTGGCTGGCTGTGGTTCTTTACCCCAGCAAGTACTGTGGATTCACCATGTATTCACTACGAAACAGCACAGCAATTACACTAACAGAAACTATTCTACTCACAATTTTCCTTTAAGGTAATCATCACCAATGAACAACACACATTTACCTCATCATAATGTGCTATGACATATGGGATGGAATATGCCTAAATAAGGTCATTGTCAGAAGAAAAAGGCACAAAGGCAAGGCCTTAAACATGCATGTGGCATGATGAACCTGACACACATGGAGAATAGAAACAGCCTCAAGCCTGACCGCAGCTGGAAATACTAAAAATCAGGCACCATGTCACATGCAATCAAATGTTTCTTGAATGCAAGTGTGTGTGTGTCTACATCAGAAACTGATGTGTAAAGAGGTGGTGGTTTTAATCACAGCTCAGCTATGACAACAAGTCTCCCAGACATTTTGCTTTAGACAGGCAGCTTTGTGAATAAAAATGCTGGCTATATGATCTTTCGTCTACATATGTATCAATTACCACACAGTTCATTTTTATACCATTCAGGGTTACCTGGGGGAGATGTCACAGCCCTGCTGCATGAAGGCCCCTAGTGAGAACCAGAGAGAATTAAAGATCCCAAAGTCGTTGGTGTGTTCAGGAGCTTCTTTATCTTTCTGCTGGTTCTGGTTCTGATTCTGAGCCTGAGAGTAACCTGAAAGGAGAGAATGATAACAAAAACTGACTAAACTTTGGTTATTGAAGCGAGGAGAATTACAACATGGGAGCGAGTTTATCAGGTGGTGATGATGTTGAAAATGGTGGGATACCTGGAGAGCGAGGGTCTTCCGAGTATGAAGTGGGAGGAGCTTGTCGAGATGCTGAAGCTGGAACAGTTTCATCTTCTTCATCGGACTCTTCGCCTTGCCACTCGTAGGGACTGAAACGACTCACCTGCAAAAAGTCATGAGGATGATGAGACAAACTGATTCAAGATCAACTGGAAAATTCAAAATAAATTGTAACGAAGTACAAAAGCAGATGACTTAGTCTGCTACAGTTAAGACCTAAATTATTCATACTCTTGGTATATTTATATTTAAAATGATTTACATTTAACTAATTAGTTTGTTTTTGATAGGAAATGAGACTAGCGCCTGCCAAAGAAAACAATGTCAAAGGAGAATCCAGTTTTAAATGAATAACTAAAACATAAATACAGCTTTCTCAATATTAAAACAAATATTTTCCTGGTGAAGCAATCAAACCTTTATTAAAAGCACAGACCATCTTTTCCTTCCACAAAGTCTCTGTATAATTTAATCTAGATCTTCCAGAAGTATATTGCGCTTAACCAAATATAAAAAGGGGGGGAAATTTTTAAATGAAAGGATTGTTTTAAGCAAAAATCATAAATGTGCACAATTTATTTTACAAATGTCATGATTTGTGGAGGCAGAGTGGTGAGGGAGGACGCCGGCAGACCCAGGATGAGGATGATGATGATTTAATGAAAAAATCCACAAAGGCGGCACAGGGAAACAGACTGATGCCACACACAACCAGGATCCGACAACAGACAAAGACAACAGGTGGGACTAAATACACTGGGAGGGTAATCAAAGAAATGAGACACAGCTGGGATCAAACAGGAAAGACAGAGACTCACAGGGGAACAGACCAATAAACACACAGAAAACAGATCACAACTGATATGGATCAGAGTAATGGTTTATTGGGCTGAAACAGCAAATATTTCTGCATGTGGCTGAACTGGAAAACATAAGTGTGTCACTGACATAAAATAGTGCAGTTGTTTGCTTCTTGCTGTTCACCACCACACAGCATAACATTCAGTGACCCATATTGGCTCTTTTCTACATGTCAATGACAACAATTGCATGAAGAAAGGAAAAAAACCTTGTACAATGGATGACATTTATTGTGTTGTCTCAGCATACATTTGCTCAATATGTTGGGTGTGTGTTGGTGTTTTGGGGATGTGTGTTTATGTTGAAAATAGCTCCATGTCAATTTGGCATTATGTCATTTGTCTCCAACTTAAGACAACATATATAAACTAGTCCTTTTGTAATTTAAGTTGCATTAAATTCTTGACAACTTTAATTTTCCTAAATAATTACTCAATAACTAGTTGCTTCCAAATGTAGGGTGGATGTAGCTATCGTTTTTAGCTCATACTAGTTTTTACAAATATTGAAGAATACTTTGTGTTTTTCCATATTTGATTAGAAACAAGTTTACATTAACAAGCATTTCTGACCCCTGCCATCATACCAGAAAAAGCACCACACTGACTCCAATGTAGGCAAAAACGATGCACATCCAGATCTCGTAGGCCAGTGGGTCAAGGAAGGAAAAAACGCCTGGCTTGGACTTGGTTGGTTTCTTGATCATGATGGAGATTCCCAGAGACATGAAGGGTTTGGTGAAGTCAATGTCTTGCTCTCGGACGAGAGTGATTGTCAGTGGGGCGACGGCCATGTCTGCCTTCTGCAGGAGGATACAGACAAGAGATGTCACCCAATGGGGGGGTTGTGTTTGGGAAAAACAGTGAACATGTCTGTTGCTGAAGCTAACAGACATGTTCACTGACTCATAATGAAAACATCTGTAGAGCTGTCACTGTTCATATGAGCATGAAGCTCAAAACAGGTGATTTTTAAAACACTTGACCTAACTTACGAAAGCAATTTCTTTGCTCAAGTGAAAACATGTCAAAGCAACACCTTCCTTGTAGATATGTTATAGCCCACATGCTTGCCTTATTTTGAATGTTTTCTTTGATACTTTCCACATGTTCTCTGTCATGAAAAATAGCATGTGCATAAAATTAAAAATCTGCAACAAACTGTATAAGTAAGAATGTTATTTTGTTTTTACTTTACACTGGCATTGTGGGACCCAATACCAGTGTGGGCGTTGGGTCCCACAATACTGAGTGGGACCCCATGCATTAATTCACCCATTTACTGTCATTATGTGTAATAACATCATTTGTCTTTGACACCAGACTAATTTGCTGACTTGAAGACCCAGCCTCAGTCATATTAAAGACACAAAATGGACAAGAAATACTACAGCTGATAGTCTAATCTAGTTTTCTTAGGAATCATATAAAAATCTTATAAAAAAATAATTTTCAGATCTAAAGATACAACCAGTACTTCTACATTTATACATTTATTTATAAAGCAAAGCCACTACTAACTCCACTAAAAGGTGTTGATGTAACTCTAAGATTGGACCAATTTTTTAAAACCAGAACAGAGGAGGAAAAGCTCCAGTTGGGATCACAACCCAATGTTCTGAAGCTTACTATTCCACAGTATTTACACTATAAAAAAGTATTAAATTAACTCTTAAGTCAGAGAAAGTTATATTTAGATATTTTAAAAAATAGAAGCTCTACTGTGCCTAGTTGATACAATGCTGAGAGGCTGTGATTATTTTAATTTGAATCTTAATGCTCTAGAAATGTGTAGCATATCTGGTTCGTTCCTGTTTATTCCTTCAGCTTCCACAAACAGAAGTGGAAGCTCACTCTTCTTGAAATTTCTGCTATCAATATTTCCATAAAAGAGCTGATTTCACTAAAATTCTCTATGAAACAATGAGTTCAATATGCAATGAGTGCCTTGGTTTGAATGTTGTTTTATGTTGAAATTTTGCCCTTACTGTACAGTATTTTTATTTTGTTTTTATTCTATCTTTGTGTTAGTATATTTGCTTTGGTTACCTGTCACTTTGTAGGTGCTGCACAGAAATGTTCCCATTGTGGGAAAGTAAAATAAATTCTGCTCTCTTCCATTCTTCTATGTTGACAAGTTGTCACCAGATTAGCTGAAACAGCTTACTTGTCTTGGATTCTGTAGCTGCCTGTTATATCCAAACTCACCCCGTAGACCAGTTCTCCCACCATGCCATTCCACTGCTTTGTCTCCGGGTCTCTGGAGCCATACTTTCCGTCTCCCACCAGTTCTAGCTGGTAGGTGAAGCCAACATGTTTGGCGATCTCGGATGCTAGTTCAGCACAGTAACCTTCGTACTTGTCATTTCCTGTAAGCTGCTCGTGGTTCTTCTTCAGCATCATGTAAGGAGCTTCCTGTGCCCACAGAGAGAAACAGAATGTGAAGTAATTACTGGAGCTTTTATTTGAACCATGGTATCTTGATTGTTTAACAAAACAAACCCTCTATTTTTTCACTTCCATCTGTGGGAGCTGTGTGTCATGATAGAATAAAAATAGCACATTTTGTTATTAAGCGCAAACAAAAAAGTAGACCTAGGATGATTAATATTCTTGACAATTATGTCAAATTTAAATCCCGTCCTTTATGTGGTCCTCTAGCTGCTGATGTCAAGCTACATCAATTAGTCAATCCAGTTTTCTGTGATTCCACTATTGTGGAAATTCGCACAAATCCCCAGATAACTCTGAGTTTATTGACAGCTATTAATATCTTAACAGTTTTTTAATGTGTTTTATCAATACATTCACATACAACACACCCTTGAGAACATCCATAATCTTGATATGGATAAAATGAAAATGACTTTGATGCCCCTGAATGAAAGAGTTCTGAAGTATAATCATATAGTAATATAATGCTTTTTATTTTCTGCATTGATTTTAAGTGCATTCATGGGGTGGATTTATATGGTCATATTAAAAAATAGAAGTTCAGAGGAGATATTGAGTTTTCTGGATAAACCCACAACATCTGGTTACTTCCAGAGGTCTAAGCATTGCTGATGCTGTGACTAATGTTGCTCTGTTTCTTGTTGAAATGATGCAGAGGACAGATGATCACTCAAAGCCACATTAATGATCTCATTCTCTACAGTATCCACCCAGATCTTAGCACCAATACATAAACCTGTCACTGTTGGTGACATCAATAACTTTAGTAAGGCTAATGGGTGAAATTGTACTGTTAAAAACAAACATTTTAACCAAAAAGAAAAATCGCTGGAGGAATGTCCTGTGATTAGAGCCCACATAACAAAATGTAGAAAAAAAGTTTCATTCTTGTCTTATGAAGAATGAAAAGACAACAGATTCAGGTTCTAAAATCAGAATAAAATAACAGTTTATTATTGTTGACAGACTGACTAACCATCACTCTCTATCCCTCTTGGACTCTCATCTAACAAGTTTTACAATAACTTTGCAGAATCTTTACAGACAAAATTCAAAGAATAAAATCAGCAACATGCGACTCCACCACTGAAAACCTGTGACCTCTCCTACGCCTCAGGACTCATTGCATCACAAAGTCAGTTTAATGAACTGAAGTATGCATAGGTAAATTGTATTATTCTCAAATGTTGTTATACCTTTATGTTCTTGCTTTATGCACTCTTATTTGTTTAGTCATATCTTTTAAGAAATGTTCCTGTATTGTTAATCTCTCTGATTTCCTTCCTCAGAGGGCCTCAGTGAGCAGCTCTTCACAGATCGTCCTGCTTTTTGACCTGTTATTTAGCTGTAAATCCGTCGCCGTACAACTTGCTCTGTTTGACCCTGTGTCAGGAACTGGATAATCTAGTGCAAGATAGATTGTGTTGTTAATAAGTGATAATCATTGGCGCTGTAACTGTGTGAAGTGTTTCCCTCCTCCCTTTAGAGTTACAGCGTGGTAGGAGATTGTAACTGAAAGCACATCTCTGTCTGTTCTCCTTGCGAGTATTCAGAATCTCTGCCACTCTCGTCTTTCCTGCGTTTATTTAATAGGTGTCAACTCTGACAGCATCAAATTGCATGTCAACTATATTAGTTTACAATCTGAAGTTCACTGTTTCTGATCTTGTATTTGTACCATTTAAAATCTTGCAGCTGCTTTTTGCACAATCTGAACTTGATCTAAATTTTAAAATATGGAAAGATGCAATTACACTAAATGAATCAAGTTGAAACAAGAATCAACACCAGCATACCGAGGCAAGAAACATTTATAATCTGGTAAAAGCAATTTTGGAAAAAAAAGTTTGAAATGATTCTCAAGTGATGCTGAAAATTACTCCATGTTTGTTCAGGCAAATCTATTGTGATAGTCCTAAGACTGGTACAAGCATCAGGGTACAGAAACGTTCTCTTAACAAAAAGTATGTCTAACACCTGTTCAAAGGTTATGATCAAACATATCTGAACACGTATTCCAATTTACTGAGATGCAACACAAACTAGTCAGATTTCTCATTCTTGTAAACTGGGTTCTTTGAAAAGGAACAGAAAAAAACAATTGACAAAAGTAGAAAACAATTCGGACATTTCTGGTTGCTTCTTTATAGGAATCAGATTGAATTTCAGATTTGGTTCTATGCTTCTCATTTGAGGTTAAAAACAGCTCTGCTGAAACAGGAAATGGTCATTCAGCGAGACCAATACCAATGGAGTGATTAGTATGTTTGCAAAGTTAAAGTGAAGGTGAACTGTGCAGCATGTCATCCTCCCAGTCTCACCAATATGGTGGTGACAATGTAGGTTTTGTTCAGAAGATTAACCACCCCTTCTGTCGGGAGCCTGGAGACGGGTGTGTGGACGTAGCCTCTCTTCTCATTCCAGAAGCCGATCTGGATGCAAAGCAACAACGAGCTCATTAAAATCACAGTGAGGGACATTCAGCACAGACCTGAAAAAGGTTAAAGATTTATTGATGTTTTATAATAGAAACCAAGATATGTTACAGATAAAGCCTCTGCTTTTGTATGGCTCTTAAGATGGGATGAAAAGAGAAAGAAAACAAAACAGTAAAAAAGACAAAAAAAGGAAAAGCTAAAATGTAAAAAGAGGGGGAAAGGACCAAATAAAACTAAACAAACTTATTGGTTAAGGCCTTACACAGCAGATTTCCTTAGTCACATTTGACTCCAGGATATATGGTTGACTCACTTGTTGCAAGGAGCCCAGATCTTTGAGAGCAAAATATCCCAAATCAGCCTGTCACTGTGTGTGCTTGATGTTTGGAATATGATGTTTGTGACAAAAATGATGTTAGGTTTTCAATTAAACATAGAGCTGTGATCACTTGTCCAGTAGTCACAGGTCAAGACACTTTTTAGTTTATTCAGGTCAAATGACAACATTGTACTTCAATAGGAGGAGATTAAATCTTCAGACCTATACTAAGTAAACCATACGCACTCAGGAGTTTTACCTTAAATGTGAATTTTACTGCAGTTGATGTTGATGTAGCTGTTTCCAATAAAATTCTCACCCCAGCTTGTCACCTTCCTCTTATCACCCAGTTGTTCATATCCTGCCTTACCCAAACATGCTTCAATATTAATTCATGTTTAAGTCATGATTATGTACAAATTGACCTGAGCAGAAAAACAACATTCATATAAAACTATCAAACCTGGTGAAGGATGTGAGGAGTGGGTGGGTGTTCATCTCCAGCTTTCAGGTCATTTGGTATCCCACTTTATTTTATTGTACATTTTTATTTTGTGACCTGCTTTTGATTTGTGCATCTTTCTCCTTTATCTTTGGCATCTGTTTGCATTTTAAACTGGACTTTTCATGCCTTAAATCTCTGGTAACTCTTAGCACAGTTTTGAATCATTATGGGTCTGGTTTTGGTTTTTCAATATTAGGTAGGACAGTAAATTCAAAGACCAATTTGACCTTTTTCTGGCCTGGTTTGGTTCTGTTAAAACTGTGATTTGCTGCATGATAAATCAAACATAACTGTTTCTAATAACAATGGAGGGATATTAGGGTTTGAAAGAGTTCAATAGAAAGTTTAGAGTCTGCAGGTTTCTACCCTAAGCATATGCTGATTGTACTGATTATCACAGGTTTAATCAGAGTAGAGGGAACTAATTACTGAAGGAGCTGATGTAGCTAAAACCTGCTGACTTGCTTCCCGAAATCTGATACTCTAATGAAACAATGAGCGGTTACACCTTCCGGGGCCCCATGTGGCTGAGCTCCATCACAGTCAATGTGTAGTTGGTGCGGTGTCCTCGCTCATTAAACTCAACGTGACCAGTCAGTCCTTCAAGACGAACCTGCAAAAACTAAATGTTATTTTCAGAAAAAATAAAGAAGATATATATATATATATAGGAACTCTGAATGCTTCAGCAGACCAAACCATTTTGACAATTCTATGGCACAACTTTGTGGGAACAGTTTGGAGCTGGCCCCTTCCTCTACCAACATGACTGAGCACCAAAGCATAACCAAGGTTCATAAACACATGGATGGCAGAGTCTGGTGTAGATGAAATGGATTGGCCTGCACAGGGTCTTGACCTCAACCCAATAGAACACCTTTGCGATGAATTAGAGTGGAGACAGAGAGCCAGGCGCTCTCACAAAGGCGCTTCTGGAAGAATGGTCAAAAATCCCCATCAACACTCGTAAACCTTGTGGACAGCCATCCCAGAAGAGCTGAAGCTGTTCTAGCTGTAAAGGATGGACCCTATGGAGTATGGGATGTCAGTTAAGCTCCTGTAACATAACAATAACCCAAAAGACACCAGAAATCCTCCAAGGAATGTCTGAATTGGAAAGGTCCCACTGCGATGCTGTGGGATGACTTGAAATGAATTGTACATAAATCGGGGCAAACTTCTCTAAGGTTGGTGTCAGAAACTGGCAAAGGCTACAAGAAATGTCTCACTGAAGTTATTTCAGCTACATGGGGCAGCAATGTTAGTCTCCAAACTTTTTCCTTAGAAAATAAATTCTTATCTTGTATAATGAATAAAACAATGATAGCTGTTGTAGTTTAAGTATAGTTAATAATTTGCCTTCCTAGAAATAAATGAAAAAACTATAAGATTTGACACCAATGTGTGAAGATTTCTTTATAAAGAACTTAGTATTTAATGTAAGTGTCCTCTATATTACACTCATTGAATAGTGAAAATATCACCTAAAGGATATGTTTGTATTTAATAAAAATGTTCAGCTTACTAAATGAACTTTGATCAAATTTAGATGTGTTTACCCATGAACAAAACAGTTTTTGGAAAAAAGGCAAAAAATAAAAACATGAGATTAAGAATTTTAAGTCAACAGATTGGCATGATGTGCAATTAGAATGTTGTGGTTTTCTGGCATTTTGTTGTATTATTTTATCTGAGTTGTAACCCTGAAATTGTTTGTTTTATGTTTTAAAATATTTATGTCAGAATGCAACAAGAAGCTGCAACGTAAGCAACTTTCATGCTTACCAGCTGCAGAGCTCTCTGGATGTCGATGCCTTGTCCCCATGGCGCTGGTGGGTTGGCCAGACACTCCCCTGCGTTACCACGGCGAGAGATGTCAATGCGCTGCCGCCGCAGGTTTTGGAAAGCTTTCACCATGACGTTGACGCCGTCGTAGGTCAGAGCTCCTGTGTACTGAGAAAACACATTTCAGGAATAAAACCTGTTTAAATCCTGCTAGAATGTTCTCTCAGACAACAGAAAAGAATTACAAAAGTAAAAGTAAATAAATAAAAATATGTATATTCCCACTTTTAAGACATAAATCAACAAAGTGCTTCACAGAGAAGAAAAGCCCCCACTCCAAATCATCAAATTTACTTAGGAATTAGCTAAAAAAAACAATTTGCAGTGCTCTATTTTTTTTCTTGCAGAAATTATTTTATCTGTTCTTCCTCGAGTTAAAAAAAATGTCTTCCAGCTTTTTACCTTGTGCAAACACATATGTAAGACTTGCATCTTAGAAACCTTGTTTGTGTTAGAAGAGACATGTAACTGGATATGGTTTTCCTGGTAGTGTCTTCTAAAATGTACAGTATTTTACAACCCTATTATAGTCTTCATCTCCCAATCTATCATCTTCAGATTAGGTGCTAAATTTGCATAAAACTGATTAACGTCTTCCTGAGAAAGATGAGGAGCACATGAATGTTGATCAGTATGTTTACACTGAGGCTGGATTTGATAAAACTCATAATTCCCCGTGTGAAGAAAAAGGTCATCAAAGTTTTGTGGTTTATAAGCACACCACTGCATTTCATGACCAAACACCTTTAGATTGGTACGCCCAATGGAAGTACCAAACCACGAAGTGGTTTAGTAAAACGCAACTTTGGAAATAAGAGTCACATTGCCATATTCTTAGTAGAGATAAAGATATTTGTTAGGACTTTTTCTTTCTTTGTTCTAATGAATTTTAATACTTAGTATCGTCACCTACTTAAAATAATGGCCTAAGACTTTTTTTTTTTTAATTAGAAAAAAAAAATGGCTTAGGCCATTATCTTAAGAGCTTTGTTTTGTGTCCGTTTTCTGAGAATTGATATTTTGACCTTTATTGTAAATTTGCTAGGATGTCCAGATTGGAAGCTGTTCCACTTGTGAATAATTCTTCTCTTTGTAGAATGGCAGACATGTTGAAATGATGAAAAAAAACTTAAACTTAAGTGATGTTTCTGTTTGTGTTTTCTGATTTACATCCTTTTCTTTTATAGTCACTTCTGAAGACTAGTGGGCCTTATGGGAACCAAATCCTAGTTCCATTTTTAGAGGTAAAGTGTTACTAAAAAATTAGTTGAAAACTATACAATGTTCCAATATAGCTCAAACTATAAACCTGTCTGTGTGCGTGTTCACCTTGAGCCTCTTTCGTGTCAGTTTGAGGTCTTTGCTGTCAAAGCCCATCCAGTCTTCATTGATTTTCTCCACAGCTGGGCAGGTTCGGTTCACCAGCTGGAAGCCTGTCACATTTGGTGCCAGCTTCTGAAACTCTGTGACGTTCAGGTCCAGAAAGCCCTGAGCAAAATACAGAGAAAGAATAAAAAGAACTCCATATCTGTAAGTTTCATTGCCTCACTTTTGCATTTAACAGACCCTTCACTCACTGAATGGAAATTAACTTATTATTCTTGAGTAGAAAACAAGGAGCATGTTTCCTGTAAAGCTTTTAGGAAAAACACCATATCAAAATTATTCCAAGCCCAATCCCAAGTATAGAAATAGAATGAAATTCTGTCCCGTCTGTACTTGACTCTTGCCTTATTCACCTTCAGTTATTCTTGTTTTTCATAAATACCAAGGGGATTTTCAGGCTTGTCCTGCTCACATGAAAAAGGCCCCGAACCCCAACTAAATATAATGAGCTCCACCCCTTTCCTTTTTAGAAGTTCCTTTTAATATTATTTGTAGTCTGCATTAGCCAAATTACTTCAAAAAGTAATTTATTGTGTGTGCAGTGGTGGTGCAGGGGTTAAGCACAACCCACATATGGAGGTGTTGATCCTCAACGCAGCAGATGCAGGTTCAATTCCCAGCTTGGCAACTTTTGCCACATGTTTTCCCATTTCTCTCATTAATCAATCAATCAATCAATCAA